ACGAGTTAATCCGAGATTGAACGGGTTAATCGAAACTTTAAGGTCCAAAGCAGACGGCAATCGATTGCTTTTCCTGTCGATAAATCCTAACAAACCTGGAGCCGTTTGGGTGTCAACACGTATTGATTAATATCTCTTCAAAGGAATCTCTCGCAGTGGAACAAGCATGTATTTATCTATGCCAATCTATACAAAAGTAAAATGGGTCAACATGAGACTTTTTGTGTCAAACAATTATCTCTGATCAATTGGTAATTATACACATCAAAGACTTCGATGTGAGATCAGCTATATGTAAGCTTGAAGTTAGCGCACATACATTAGAAATAGAAAAGGATAGATACAAATAATTGTCTTTTAACGACAGAATATGTAAATATTTTACAGAAAATGCAGTGGGGGACGAAATGCGCTTTATTTGACATTGCCCTCATTTATATAGCACCGAATGTGATAAGTTATTTGCAAAAACTGCATTTCTATCAACATCTCTAAATTCATACAGCTTGCAAAGTGTTGGGCATTTCATACTCTACTGTACACTAAAAATCAAACCTAACAATAGATATATCCAAAGTAGCATTAGCATTACTTATTATCATTTTTACTGTCTATTCTGTTATCATGTTCTTGATATTTGCCCTCGGGCATGAATATGCAATAAACTTTCTATTATAAGGTTAATGATCCTTTTTCTGTAATTCTAGGTGGCCTATTTGGATCTTCCACAGCGGACTGGGTGGCAGAACTTGCCTTGAACGTTGCCATAGAAATGGTGAACACCAATCCAGAGTTGCTTCCCAACGTCACAATCAGTGCCGTGCTCAACAGAACTCAGCATTACCTAACAACGTTCAGAAACATACAGAACAGTAAGTACAGACCTACCATTATCATTATCTATACAATAAACTGGTGGACGTCCCAATTACTACCTACCTACCTAGTCCCATGACCGACACTGGTCGTCGGGGGGGACAAGCTTAGACAGACCCTGTAGTAGAGGTGTTGCCAGCTCTTCCTGTCTTGGGCTGCTGTCACAAATTACTACTACTAGAAAAGAACAAGGAATAGTCATGCCTATAGGTATAAGTACTAGAGTTATCAACGAAAGATCGAGGTGTTCAAAACTCATTCTTTCCAAGAACTACCGCAGAGTGAAAAACTATCACAGATACAAATACTACACTGTGCAACACTCACACTCACTCACTATCCAGCTGAACAGAAATCAATCAGACCAACAGGGTTGTTACATTTTACTATCTCTGGTACATTCTACAGCCTAAAAAGCGATATTTGTGGTCCTCCTTTCTACAGAATTCAGAATATTGACTGCCCTAAAGATGTCCGTTTTCGATTGAGACCACTTTCGATTGGATCAAGTTACCAAACATAATTTATATTTCAGCTGAATGTAAGTAAGCTGCCGACCAAAGGTGATCCCAAGTTGCCATATATGTGTTGTTAATAGAATGTATGCCTATAGTGACAACATCTATAAATACCACATTTTCCTTGCTTTCTTAGCTTACGTCTGACTCCATTTCTCCATGTCAGTTGCCACAGAAATATAACAAAGTCGGTGGTTCAATGCACTCAAATCACTATCATCATACAGACTGTGAGAGCATGCAATCAATATATACGGCAGACGCTCTGAATAATAGCTTTGTGTGACCTTTGTTGGCAGGGAAAATGTTTGACTTTGACTTTGTGTTGCGTAAGCACCTTAGCGCTGACCGCTGGCCTTGGTCACGCATTACTTTGGAAGATTAACGCTGTGTATATGGTAATACATCGGAAATGTTTGACCTTTTAGCAAAATGTCAGCACATCCTTTCGAATGTGTTTAAGCTTCAAACCTTTGTGTGCTTCATTTATCCGTTTAATGTAGTGAATAAGTACCTGTATTATCTTCAATCTGCTGCCGCATTATGGAAATACTCTACTCACGGTTCCGAATCATTCCAACGATTTATCCATTAAATCCTTTAAAATAAAACGTCTTATGGGACCAAAAAATGAAAGGTTCTTGACTTTCTGTGACTTCACAAGTATTACGTATACATGCTTGATAATTGGTTGTTGACCCATTTTGGGGTGGGGATTTAAAAGCTCGTATTCGTGTCTATCCATTGGTTACGCCGCATGTTCGTGGCAGACTGGAAGCCCATACATTTGACACCGGGTCAGATGGTAATGCATAGACTCAAAATGGTGTACTTAACTAGTTGAATCCCGGCGCTACAACCATTAAGAAGTTTATGTACAGTATAATACGAAAGCTTACAGACACTGCCTTTATAGACACAGTGAATAAGGTATAATATCATACGCACTAATGGAGCCCAAAGAACGCTTGTCAAATTCATGAAAAGAAGCTCCTGTGATGATATAGAATAGGAGAAACTTTGGTCAAGCCGAAGTCATTCCATGCGCTCATCGTCATATCTCAAGCGTAAGAGGAGCAAACGGGCCGTGGCATCATTCGTTCTACCTCTCCTCCTCTTTCATCTGTCACCACAACCAGTGGCGTTGGTGGTTTATCACGTCGCCACCGGAGCATGAGGACAATTAACAACCCGGCCCGGAGCACTTCGTACTAATCTCCCTAAATAAAGAACATCGTCCCCGTCCGGTTGGAAAGCGAGCACCCTTGAGTAAGCTTTATATTAACTCCGACCTCGACGGAATAGCGGGTTTATCACTGCCAGGTGAACGAAAGGCAGCAATCATTTCCACCTTTTGGTAGAGGCAACGCGGTGTTCTCAACTCGAAGAAGCAGTTTCAAAGAGTTTTGCAACTTTTAATAAAAAATATACGACAATGTCAAGGACTTTTGCTAATTTACTGAAAATTTATATAATTTTTTAAGTTGAGACCGTCACAGATTAGGCAGAACTAGAATATAGTACGTACTACGTAAATTGGACAGTTAGAATATGCCTTGTATATGTCGGTGTGTCAATATAGCTTTCCACATTGGCTCACTACTGTGTATTCAGGAGGCTGATTCTATCAGCATTCTCTATTCCTGCCAGTTGCTCGGCAGATTAGTGGGAAGATTGCCACAGACCGAATGATGTGCCGATTTGATTAACGCGACGACCCCTGACGTGCTCCAATCGAGCTGGACGACCTTGCCTTGCTTCCAGCACATTCCAACATGCCCCTCCTACCAGGGAACCAGCCAAAACCTCACAAATATTTCGATACAAACCAAAAAATCTTTGCATAAATAAGTCGTCAAATGTTATTCGACAAGATAAGAATTGAGCTACATGTCCAGGTAGCCGTATACTTGATAACGTTGTAAAGTAGTTTGCAGTTTGAGTAAAGCAGTTGATTTTA